TTTTTCATGTAGGACATAAAAATTGATGTCAAGTGAAGAATAATGAAATATTTCTTAAGCTGTTGGCTGGATCCTCTGCCATTGCTAATTGATGCAGAGATTTTTCAATAAAACTCTTGAGAAACTTGAGAAAGTTCAGGGTATACTACATTCTATTGCTCCACATTGTGATTAGGGATCACAGTGTGACAATGACGATTGTGTATCTGTAATAAATATATACAAATAGGACATTCACAACACAGAGCTTGTGAAAACTTGAGACAAGTGTCAATTCAAAGAAGTTTTAATTCAAAGCAGATATTTAAAGTTTGTATCTTTATGGCGGTGTGATGTCATCTGTCTGAATAAATCTAGAGTTGCATCTCATTTAATAAGATTATATGGTCAGAGCAGAAGCAATTTACTTGAACATTTCTTGGCTGAATGGTTTCAAAAGCATCTTTTGACACTAATTTGTTGAACGGATGATTGTGAACAACATAAAAACAAATTAAAAGTTTTAAGTGCTTGGGTTAAGTTCTCAGCTAGTAAAAAGCAAAGGTGGTCCATTAATTCAGCAGAGCTTTGCTTATTTCTATCTGCTGAAGACCTGGCTCTTTATGCTTAATGTGACTATACATATGCTTGGGCACAGTTCTACTCAGCAGACAATTTGTTCTAACACTCAGCATCCTTCAGCCCCACAGTGCCAACTGAAATGGGAACATTTGTTAGCTCCAGAAGTTGCAGAATTAGCTCCTGTGTCCTTGCCATTAAAATAATTGGGGAAACCACTGGAGGCTCTGTTCTGCCAGACATGGAGAATTTGATAGACACAAATGTATGTGGCTTTTACATATAGAAGCTGTATGGCGTAATTTACAGCAACAGGTAAGTATTATGCATTCATGTACACTCATTACACAGGGAAAAGTCACCAATCTTTAAAATTAAACCCTGCCACTGTCCAGCCTAATGTCTGCAGGTGCTCTCTACAAGCTAATGTCTGCAGGTGCTCTCTACAAGCTTGGTCCCATTTCTTCCAATCTAACACACACCCTTCAGTCTCCCAGTTTCCTGCACAGGGACTTCCCCTCACACTATGTAGATTTTAAGAAGAAATTCTCCCCTATGAGAGTGGTGAGACACTGGCACTTGTTTTCCAGAGAAGCAGTGACTGTCCTATTCCTGGAAGTGTCCAAGACCAGGCTGGACAGGGCTTGAAGCAGTCTGGGAATACAGAAGGCATCCTGCCAGCAGAAGATGCCAGGAGGTGGAATGGGATGGGCTTTGAGGTTCCTTCCAACCCAACCATCGTGACACCTCATCCTTTTCACTAAATGCCTCTGTGTCCACATGATCTGCACAAACTGCTGCTTTTCCCAGCTCCCTGCTCCTGTTTTGCTCTTCCCCATCTGCTCTCCTGCAGTTTTACACTGCCCTGGACAGCAACAAGGAATGTGCAGGTTATTCCCCTTTTGGCTCCATTCCCCTTTCCTCTGCACTAAGGGCAGGAAAAATTATCAAAAAATTAACACAAAAATGAGAAAAAAGATTCAGTTAGTGAAAAAAGATCTGCCTGCCCAAACTTCCCCTGTGATTTTAGTTCAATAGAGCAATAGAGAGGGATGGTATTGGAATCCTGTGCTTGTTTATCACATGCTGGGGTTTCTTGTGTTTTGAGATTTTTTGGCTGGTTGGGAGTTTGTTTGTTTTCAAAGCACAACACCAAACCTGGCACCCTATCCCATATATTCTGGTTACCATTGCATGGGCATAATATGGATGATAATATAATATGACCCACTACAGTGGGTCAATTGAGTGACCAACTCAGAGGCAAATTTCAAGTGAATTTAGAAAAATATTCCTGCATCTTCTAATCAAATATCAGATTGATGGTTTTCTTAATTAAAAAAATTATTTTTAGTCAAAAAGGATAATATTTGCACACCAGTTAGGCATCCCAGAAACAAAATAGTTCTGCAGCCATTTCCATTTCAATTGAGAAGAAAATCAGTCTCCAAACATCACTGAGAGGTGGCTGCCAGCTGCAGTCAGGGAAGCTTCTCTCCTCCATACCACAGCAATTAAAAGATCATGTAATTACTGCTGATCTCATGCCATGGAAGTCAAAGGAAAACCATTCATTGACTGTAATGGGCTTTGGAGCAGGTTCAGAATTTCTCCAGCATATGTAATCCTGACACTTGGAAACCAAAACCTCACAGTTTAACTACACTCATCCACAACTAAAAAAGAAAAAAGTGTTTTCATGCTCAACAACAATCAAGGCTTTGCTCCATTTGAAAGAAAAGCGTCTGCTTTAAATCCGAAGGATTCAAACGTTTTGTCCCAAAATAAAGAAAAACTCTGAAAAGTCTAAACCAGGATTGCCCCTCCTTTCACCAGCTCTTTTTTTAATCATCTTGGATCATCCATAAGCCTGGGATAATAAAAGCAGATACAGAGTAAGTCTGCTGAGCTCCCACATTTGTGGGTGTTTCTGGGAGATATTTTTTAGTTTTTCAGCTTTTTATGAAAAAGCCAAAATTTCTACCAAGGGAATAGAACAAGGATAAACCCACAACTCCCAATCTCTTCCAATCATCTCATTTCCTCAGGTAAAAAACATTATCTGCAAAAATTACCATTTTTAGGGGGAAAAAGACTTCATCAAAATCACCTCAAACCATATCACAAGACTTAGAAGAAATCCTTTTGTGTGCATAATAAACATTCTGACCCGCCTGTTATTTTTTTCCTAACACCAAATGATATCTGCTCTGTGCACATTTTAATACTGAACAGGTTTCTGAAGGAGCCTTTCGTTGAATTATTTTATAGGCACTATTGAGGAATAACTCCAGAGAGGAAGATACTTAAACATTGCTGAAAATCCCCAGGTAGCTCTGCAAATCCACAGGCTTTTGTTATCAAGAGGTATTTACCATGTTAGCATTTTCTTGACTTTTGAGGAGTTTGCAGTTCTTCAGACAGGTTTGATAATCCACATATTGCCTTGCTGGGCATAAGCCAAATTTATCTATACATCTTAACTCCCTCAGTTTTCCACCCCCTTCACTCCAGCCATGGATCTAAGAAGCTTCTAACAGAAGTCCATTACATTGAATTCACTTCTGAAAAAAAAAATTATGGTTTTACCCCTCAAAATAAAAGTTAAGTCTTGCCCATCCTCTGGAAGCAATCAGAAATGAGCCTCACTTAGCCTGGAAATTTTGTGTCTTGAGGCACTGATCTCCAAATTCAGTTATTGCTCTGCAGTAACATTCTCCAAACAGAAACTGTAAACTCAAACCTGATTTCAAGAACTGCTATCTTTAAGCTCTCATTTGTGTTGGTTACTTTCACTGTAAAGAAAGTTTGGAAGCAGAACTTGTATCTGAAAAAGGACTGGAGGTACATCCACAGGACTGGACCCAGTCTCTGTGCCCAAAATGAACTACACCAAAACTACAGCCAGGGGATGACTGAAAAGTGTCCACACCCACAACACCAAGAGGTTTTCTGCACCCCAAAGCAGCCCTGACCCACCCAAGAGCCCTCCTCAGTTTCACACTGAGGGAAGTACAACACGGCTGGACTTCTTCATGAAGAGTGGCAGAAGTTTGATCAAACACACACATGCACTGGACACCTAAACCAAATAGATTTCACCTTTAGCAATAGCTGCATTTTTAATTAATTCAAGCCTCTCTGCTGCCTCAGCCTCACAGAATAAAAAAAAAAAAATCAAAAACTACAACAAAAAATTATTTGCCCAAATGACAATTTACCCTTGGACCTGACCTTCTTTGCTTATGCAGTAAAACCTTGGTAGTTACAACCCCTTCCCAACATATGGGATGCCTGAAACAATTCAAGAAGCTCTGGAAGGGAACAGGGAATGCATTAATCCATTGAACAGCAGAGTGCCACCTGCTTCACATTCTACCAAGACAGATGAGAAAAGCAACTGCCTGATCCAGAAAACATCTGCTGAACAAAATCAAAATTAATGATAACCAGAATGAGCACTCTGATGGCCGATTCTCCCCCAGCTGCCAGGAGCCATCAAAGAGCCTCTCCTGGCAGAAGGCAATTGTTTCTGAAGCAGCAGAGTGCCCAGGAGCTGAGCTCAGAGCACCCTTGGGTGGAGCTGTGCTGGGCAGAGCATGGAGAGCATCATCTGCACCTTTTTCTCCCTGAAATTCTCCAGGTTTTGAGTTTAGCACAAAATGTTTTGGGTTGGAAAAGAGCTTTAAATCCATCCAGTTCCAAAGCCCTGCCATGCCTTCCACTGTCCCAGGCCTGATGTCACTATAGGACATGAAACAACACAAGCACACACACACTGCTGCTTTCAAGGTGAAGAAAAGGAAAATCTGAGTTTAACATTTATAGTTTTCCAAAAGTGACACTGGATTGGAGGGTGAAAGTGCCACCTCTCCAATGACACTGGACAAACCAACAGTCTATCAAATTTCTCTTCTTCCATAAAAGAATGTAAAACAATGACTGATTTACAGGAAGTGTGTGAGAAAGTTCGTTACAAGAATGTAAATATCAGAAGGCTTAGAAAATCTTTTAAAATCAGAACAACAGCCCCATCCAGCCTGGCCTTGAACACTTCCAGGGATGGGGCAGCCACAGCTTCTCTGGGCATCCTGTGCCAGGGCTTTATCACCCTCACAGGGAAGAATTCCTTCCTAATATCTAATCGAAATTATCTTCCTTCAGCTTAAAGCCATTTAGGTGCCCTGCCAGCATCCAGACCTTGACATACACACCCAACACCATCATGAAATTCTGTGCTAAAATAGCAGCTTTTCATTGGGAAAAAAAAAATAATCTACAATTTGCAACACTAAGAACTGTCAGACAAGCACCAGGCACAGACTGTTGGAAAACCCACAGCAGCACAACCTTTCAAGTGTGTGAACTCATGCTTATTTTAAAAAGTTACTGCAAGATACTCAACACCAACACACACACTGAAAGAAAACCAGTTTTCCTACCTTTTCTTCTTGTAACTTCAAACCTTCTGGAGTCCTATAAGGAAAAAGAGAATTTTTTGTGGTGTTTTTTATTAAATGCAAGAATTGTTCAAACGCAGGATGAACAACCCCCCCTAAAAACATCAATTACTGACCCAGGGAAGCATCTGTGAAGCTCAATACAATAACTGAGGAGCAATTACAAGCACACATTTCAGTTTGTCCACAGATATTTAATGGATAAATATAACACCTAAAATGACTCGTCACTGTGATAAATTACATTGTAAAGCACAACATTTGTCTTGAAAATTGATTTTTTTCCCCTCTCTTTATGTTAAAAGGGAGCAGTTAGGAGGGTTATTATTACTACACCGAAGATTTGGGGCTGAGGAAGGAGAAACCATTACAGATATTTTTAGCAGAGACTTCTGCAAATATCTGAATAATTTCAAAGCCACTGGACTACCCATGCTGAAAGTTGAGTGCTCATTTCAATCCATGCACACCTACATAATATTTTTGCATATAATTTTTTTTGCATAATTTCTTTGCAAATCATTATAACAATCTCTAATATAGAAACTTGTTTTAAAACACTGTTTCTAAAGGTATTGCATTCCCAGGCAACACTGTCTGCTTATACTAATGGTGAGGCTTCAGAGGAATAAATATTTAATTCCACACAGTAACACTATTTATGGGTTAATTACAAATACGTCCAAATTTCCATCATTGGAGCTATTTCTTGCAGCCAGTATTAGAACTGGAGGAATTGTGGGGACCATCTGGAGTGCTTCTGTTATGAGAGAGGTAGGGTTGTTCAGTCTGGAGGAGAAAAGGCTCTGGGCACCACAGGCTGCAGGTCCCCATGGACTGACACAGAAATGCCTCTTTCTGCCTCCTACCCCCTCCCAGAACCTTCTGGAAAGTCCCAGGGCAGGACAGAGCCACAGCTGAGGTCTCCTCCAGCCCAGGGGCCACCTCACATCACCCATGTCCTGCCCAAACACAGTGACAGTTTGTACTGTCCTTTGTCATCCCCTGTGCAGGCAGCAGATGCTGCTGCTCCTTCCTTCACACACCAAAGCTGCCTTCCCCAAAACAAACCTTCCACCACATCAGAGAAGGATCAGAACACCAGGAATGGCCTCCTTGGCACCCTTCAAGTCAGCTGAAGGGGATAATAAAAAAAAAGGGTATTTGCTTATAAAAATACTGTCATTATTCCCTGTAGGATTCCACCTCAGTGATCTCCAGCAATATATAAAATGGCATTCAGGATTAATACAGACTTCAAAGCATTTATCCTCTTTATGTAGCAGAGCTCTGAGCTGTGCAGGCAGTTATACTCCAGGGACCTCTCTGAGCTTTTCAAAATATTAGTTTGAGAGGTGGGGCATGGGATAAAAAACCTCAGCTACAGCTGCTATCATTAGGGCTGTGTACATGCAATATATGCAAAAGAGAAGAATACTTTTAAAGTTCCCCAGAGCCCCTCACACTAACAAGCTGTTTGAATTCTCTGCAGTTCAAAAGCTTAGAACTACTAAAACTAATTACAACTATTATATTGATCAAAAGGAAATAGACTATCAAGGCTCTATTAAACAAACATCCAAGTCTCATCTCGCTTTTATAAAATGCCCTTTTGTTATTTCCATGTCCGCACAGACATCATGAAAGACAAAGGATGGTCTTTAAATTTCCTTTCTTTTATTCTGCTCCCCTTATAATTGTAAGCTCTGATGAATATAAACTATCTAAAAAGAAGAAAAGCTTGTTAGAACTGCAGTGGGAGAACAGGAGGTCAGGCTGCAAGGCACCACTTCTTGTTCCTGGGAAAACAGCAGCACTTGGAGGGTCCCCCAAAACATCCCTTCCCCAGAGAAACCCCCAATGACACTGAGAATGCTCAAGGTTTCAGGAGGGTAGACAAAAAATAAAAGGGAAAAATGCCTGGCAGCCACAGCAGGGCTTAAAGTACAGTACAAAAAGGCAGCAGCTCCAGGTAGGCTTCTCTTGAAGATGATACTGATCTCAACTTAAAAAAAAAAAAATCACATAGAGGTTTCAAAGATTTTAATAGTGTCACCCGTAGAGAACCAAACTATTTTGATAAAAATGACACCAAAGTTCTTGAATGCATTGCCTGAGGAATACTTTCCTGCAGAAGCCATAAAGCAGATGGTTATAAATGAGACTTATTTCATGGGCACCATTTAATGACTACAAATTCCTTTAACTAAAAATCTAATTTTATCAGAGCATAAATCATCTGCTTTGAAGGAAAAAACTGTTTTGGATTTTCCATTCCTTCTAAAAAGCTTCTTCATGTACTGCTTTAAATAGCATTTCATTAGAGCAATACAAGAGTTTTATTTGTCAAGGTTCACTTTTAGCACCTATTTCCTACTTTTTAATGCTAGTCAATTGAGCACAGAATGAAAGGTCCTTCTGTTCTGTATCTGAAGTGCCTAATCACTATGTGGAAATCAATGCAGTATGTTTGCTTCAGGATTGCCATTCACCAGACATGTAGCTACAGAAAAATTGCATCTCCAAAAGACCAACACCCCAGAGTCATCAGGTTTCTATTTCTACCTGGATTAGGAGGGATGAAAATCAAAATCAGATAAAGTTCAGTAGCTGCTGTCAGACTGCTTCACTGCCCTGTAGCTGCAGTGTGTTGCACCAATGCCACTTACCAAATTTGTTGTACCAACACCTGTGTGAACTTGATGCCATTTAACAACTGCTTTGCACAAAGCCCTTTTCTGCTCTTACAAAAGGAATGCCAAGGCATAATAGTTGTTTTATGCTATATCTCCTGATTAATGATGAGTCATGGGTCCATGGATGAGCAGAGCACTAATGATAAATCAAATTTCATTCATAACAAACACAGAGCATTGGGAATTTCATTGTGCAGAGTTAAAACACAACATGAGGGAATACACAACATGAAACAGTGCTTGGCAGCCAGTGTGCCACAAACAGGTTTTCCTGTGGTCATTAGCAGTGGATGCAAGCAGCAAAAGCACTTTGGGGTTGTTATGTATAGAACCACAGAATGGTTTGGGTTGGGAGGAACAATAAAGCTCATCTTGTTCCAAACCCCTGTCACAGGCAGGGACATCTTCCACTAGGTCTGTTCAAACTGCCTTTGAACACTTCCAGGGATGAATTCAGTATTAAGAGATTTTCCCATGACTGTGCATTTCCCATCCCTGTTTGTTCCTGGCCTCTGATCCCAGTAGGGAATGATGCTGACCATACATCACCAAAGCAGATACCAACTGTAAAAAACACAATATTCCATCAGATAACCTTGCAATGATTTCACTCTCTTGCCCTTTAATACTGATTTAGATGTAGTAAAAATGCACCCCTTTTTATAACTAAAATTTAATATAGGAGACTTGGCAAAAAAACCCCAATACTTACAAAAAAAAAAAATAAAACCCCACAGACAGCAGCAAAATACAATAAAACAATTAATGCAGCAGAAGAAGAGATGCAGAAGAACAGCTAACACTCCAGATCCACAAGTTCCCTGCATTGCTGGCCCTACCAGACCCTTTGTGGGAGACAAGGCAGTGCTAGCAGATAAATCAAACCCAGTCCCTGCAGCTGGGCTCAGGCTGGGTCTCACAATAAATCAGATGTTACCTCTGCACACTCCAGGTCTCCAGGGACCTGCTCTCAGGATCAGCCTAACTGCTGTACAATTTCTAAATATACAGTCCTAACTCATTTAGCAAATTAATAAAGAAGTGGCTGTTCCTATTAATAGATTACCATGCCATGGATTTTTTCCTCCCTTCAGAGCCTTCTCCTCCTTCTCTCCAGTGAGGGGTCATGCAAATAAGACAGATTTAGATCAGATGATAGGAATAAATTCCTCCCTGTGAGGTGGTGAGGCCCTGGCACAGGGTGCTCAGAGAAGCTGTGGCTGCCCCATTCCTGGAAATGTTCAAGGCCAGGTTGGATGGAGCTTGGAGCAGCCTGGGATAGTGGAAGGCATCCCTGTCTATGGCAGAGGGGTAGAATTAGACAAGTTTTGACCCAAACCAAACCATTCTATGAAATGACACTCAGTACAGGGCTGCTGGGACACTGCATGGGGACTGAAGCATCAGCACAGTGTATGGCTAATACACAGCTTAGTCTGGCAATCAGCATTTTCTCCCTTTTGTTTTTTGATCAGGCATGAGGGAAAAAATAGATCACATGCTGCTGTTTGGAGAAAGCTTGCTATCTGTGCAGACAGTGGCAATTTAGATTTGTACTGTCTGGTATGAACACAGAGGAACTCTGATGTCTCACATCACACAGCATCATCTGCTCATCCATACGGCAGCTAATTGAGATAATTACTGCATCTCTGATTTTACTCACTATTAGTTCTGGACTCCAGATGAGAAACCCAGGTATTGCTCCATAAATTTCCACATTGTGATAGGGAAGCCCTTGGGACAGCTGTTTTAGAAATCCCAAATTTGTGGATATGCTCTTTCTAATCTAAAAGCTGAGAACTGCCCTGCTTGATGCTCAAAAGTACTTCAAGTAAAACTGTCTTCCTTTAAAAACTAATGCTACAGCCTTTGTTTCAAATGGAGAATATGCTACATTTGGGAAAAAAAATTGCTCAACATTTAGTCTTTTAAGGCAGAGTGGCTTCTGAACAGAATATCAGAAAGTTTAACCCTCTATCACATCAAAACCAACTTAAGATTGCCTTGATTCATTTTTGCAACATGATTTACTCTGGTCTTATTCTCTTCTTCAGAATCATACCAGCATTTCCCCATCTCAGTATGATTTTTCACAGTTGCTCAACTGTGTCATGAGAAAAACTTCCTGAAATTTGATTCCTGCAGTCAGTGAGTGCCACAGCTCAGCACAGCCATGAGCCCACATCCCTCTGCTCCCAGACAGCATCCAAGCATCCAAAATCCAAGGTCAGTAACACCCAATGCAGCACAAACTGCTCCATGCAGCAGCCGGGGTTCTGTTCTCCTGGCTGGGAGGTGACAGCCCCCAGGAAAATGG